TATAGGCCCATAGAATTACGGGGACCGGCAAGGATTTGGAAAGTCTGAATGCAAGTCCTGCTTACACCTAACAAGTGCTGAAGTGGGACATAACCAGAGGTAGAAAGGTCTCGGAAGCACTTGGGAAGAGGCTTCCCAAGACCTATCCAGTTCTGAACGGAGAGACCTAAGTAGAATTTGTCAGGTCCAATTATTCGACTCGGGTTTTTTTCAACGGTTCTATCATTATTTTAATTTTGTCAAAAATTACTGTTCCCAGGGTAAAAAATAATTTCAGATTCTTTTCATACACACACTTAGAATACTAGAATCGGCATTGATAAACAGATAATACCTTCTTCGACTATATGATTGCTTATTTCACTCGTTTCACCAGTCTTCTCCACTCCGTCGTTACGGGCACTTACCTGAAAATCCCTTATTATTTGCACATATGATAATCAGATTTATAGGACTCACAAGTCACCTTTATGTATCCAGAGGATGTGTACGTTCGATTGACCGTTTTGCAAAACCAATCGTCCCATAAGGAACACGGTTCATCCGCGGATACTTCAAAACTCTTGAATTTGCCTCTTGCAGAAGGAACTTCAATTTTGTAGGTAATAATTCGACCGTTAGTTGGCGGATAAGGTTTCTGCCATCTGAGAGTTATTAGCTGATTTTCCGAGTCAACTTCGACGATCTTGAAATTCCGAACTTTCGGGGGAGCTGAAGATATATTTTCTCGAATATATTAACCAGTGATTTTTATTTTACTGCAGGATATTTACCACTTGGAGGAGTCGTGAAATTCAATTCGGTAAAAATAGCAGAATTGTATTTATCGGCTCTGTGAGCATGCAGCAGATGAACTTTCACGTTGTAAGTTTCGCGTCCATGTATGTTTTGTGGTTTAGTGTTATTCAACCTGAATGAATGCCATTGCGTAGTGTGAGAGTCGCGAAAATCTTTGACGTCGAGGCTGATTCCGGTGAAGAATAATCTTGAACCGTTAACTACACCAGTCCAAGCTGTGCAGTCTGGATCCTTCCATGACAGCCTTGAATTTCCAGGCGCAAATGTGAGATCGACCCATTTTTCGATTGGAGTTTCTAAGAAAACCAAATAATGAATTGAGAATTAGAAACAAACTATGAAATTCGCGGTTTATACCTAATTCATTTGTTTCGAATGATATTGTGTTCTCTATCCCAGGTTTGGAATTGTGAGCTGATACAGAAATTCTGTACCCAAAGTATGGCCTTAGTTCCTTGATTACAGCAGATTTTGCAGAGGCATCAAGTTCAATGGATCTTTCTTCCAGATTCAATCCCGATGATTGTTTTCCGTAACAGCCTACGTAATACTCGGGCTGAAAAGATCCATGCGTCATCAATTTTTCACAATTAAAAAATTGAACGTTATCTATTAATTACTTTTATTCTAATTGTGTATCCCCTTAAGCGTCCATTCGGTGAGACTGGCGCTGACCAAGTTATTGTGGCAGTTGTGCTACCTAGGTCATCTATACGCAGCTTTCTTACTTCTGATGGTGCTGGTGGATGATATAAAGATATTTTGGTAAGAGCTGCGACAGTCAGTATACAAATGACATACCAGCCTCTAGAGTTTTCACTTGTTTCTTCAGGGACACACTCCCATCTAAGCCCGTTATTTCAACTTCATAATCCCTGTAAGGCTTCAAATTTGTGAAGTTTACGGGAAATCTGCCAGAACTGTTCTCAAGTCGGCGCTGTGGTACAGAGTAAAGTTTGATTTTGTACCAACTATCTGGACAGGAACCGGCAGTTTCCTGTGAAATTATAAATTAGAATAGAAATGCGATGATCACATAAGGCTACACCCAAAAAAAAATTACTTCTCACCAGTACAAACCGGTACTTGGGGGAAGTTCACTTTTAAAAAGTTCTAAAAATACTCATACCAAGTACATTTTGTGTCCTTGGGTGAACTACCACATCTGCCGATCGAGTAGAAATGGTACTGGGAGGAAGTAACATCACTACTTACTGCCAGTACTTTTAGTACTTTTCACGAGTACCAAAGGTACTGGTGAAGAGTAATTTTTCAACTCCTCTCAAATACTTTTAGGACTTAATTTCAGTATTTCCAGTTGATTACTTCATTGAAAAAAGTGAATATTATTACCGGATAGAATGGGCTTTCTTACGCATTTTTGTAAATAGAAATGTTCAGCAGAAGATATTTTGTACGAAAAAATCAATAGATTGCGATTTTTATGTTTTATGTTGTTATCACCATTTAAAAGGCTTCGAAAAATTATTTTCAATTTCTTTTCAATTTTATTACTCATAAAACGAGAATTATTTGGATTTTTGAATTTTTGACGAAATTCAGTTTTTAGAAAAGATAGAAAAACATTTTTGAGTTCTTATACTCAACTTATATTGAGTTTATTTGGTACTTTTGAAAAGAACCAGCGAGGTACTCATTACAAGTAATTTTTGTACTTGAACCAAGTAACAAAATACTTGTGGCAAGTAACAAAGTACTGAGGTACTTCGAGGAAGTACAAAAATATGCCTTTTCCCTAAAAACTCCTTGGTACTGGGTACAAGTACTGTTTCTACTGATCAAAAGTAATTTTTTTTGGGGTGTAATAGCAATTAACTCGTGCTCCACCTCATTTGGAACTTTCGTGACTTTCAAGCTTGATTCATCAGGCACAACAATGTACTGGTTGAAATCTACAAAATTCAAAAGAAATTTATTCTTAATAATGAGAGGATTGATAGAAGCTCAGAAGTGCGCGAACCTACTTCGACATGAAGTTGTGAAATTTCCCCAGGCCCCCTCCAAATTGTAACCGCCGTTTTTTATGGATATTGACATCCTCACCCAATACTGTGTGCCAGCTTCCAAATTGTTGAACAAAGCATTCAATTTGATTGCTTTGTTCGTTGAATTAAAATTAAAATTAGGGATTTCTTCGGCGTCAAAATATTGATAACTGCTGTCATTATCGTCTTTCTGAAATGGAGTCGGAAAGTAGTACACTGAGAAATAAATGTCTGATAACTGAAACATATTTACTTGAGACAAGTAATTTTCCTTCAAACGCTTAATTCTCCCAGGCATTTCAACTCACATGGCCCGAGAATGTTCTCTTGGTCTATTCTATAAACTCTGAAGATGATTTCTTCTAGAAAAAATGGCCCGAACTACTTGGGCATCCTCAAGCCATTGAAAATAATTTACTTCTCTCAAGTAAAAATGGTCTACATATTAGGAAATTCTTCTCTCAATGTATAAAGAACATCAATACTTTGGAATACTGGGGAATTGGCAGTATAAGTTATACCCTTAAATGAAATCCAAAGGACATTTCAACATTTTCATAACGCTGAATGACATTCGATACGTGTGCACTCTGTGAAGTTACATTGGTGATGAACGGACTTAGTGGAGGCACTATAGCTTGACCTGTAATTTCAGATAAAGATTGTGGTTTGATGATCATCCCTCAAATTGTACATCACACATACCGTATTTGCAGTAAGGTGGAATAAGATATTTATCTGGAAAGTTTTGGCATTGAGAGCACTTTCCCGTAAAGACATCACAAACATCTTTCGTTCCTTCTTTTCCCGAGCAAGTTCCACAGGCTTTTCTACAACCGTAACCGTAGCTTCCTACTCCACAACCTAAAAGTGACAAGCAAGAATTATTGTCGGACATTTGACTTTGATTAAAGATAATTTTAATTCTCACGGGAATCACAGTTGTCGCCCGTTATGCCCGGAGGACAATAACATTCCTGTTCATCGCATAATATCATATTACGACAATCTGATTCAAAGTATTCATTGCAACGTGTAGCGCAATAAGGTCCAAAATAAGATTCTTGACAGAGTTGACTATCGTCAGTGAAGCCTAGTATGAAACAGAAATTATGAATGAATTCTCCACACGGAGAAAAAATTTCTAATATCTGAAACATATTTACTTGAGACAAGTAATTTTTCTTCAATCGCTTAATTCTCCCAACTCAACTTACGTGACCCGAGAAAGATCTCATGTCTTAAAATATTCTTGTACTCTGTAAGTATGGTTTTGTCGCAAATGGACTCACTCAAGTCGCGAAGAAGAATCGTTAATCTTCAAGTATTTATTGTTTTCATGATTTTTTTATTCACTTCCAATGTGTCCATATGTGTCCCCATACATTCATGATGTAACGGGGAACGATAATGATAAATGAGAATTTATTCGACTTCCGTGAAGCGCAAACATCACGGCAAAAACCAGGTGTCTGACAGCTATCTGGATTTAAGACGTCAGATGGTAAAAAACGTCTGAATCTTCAAAAGTGTCTGAAAAACTGACTAATGTCTGAAAATTTCAAGCACCGTTCCTGTCTGAAAAGGATGATAGACATTTTTTGTGGCTGAAAAATTTCAGGGATTTATTTTCAGATATTTTCTGTGTCTGAAATTCAGTTATTTATGAGCGATTCAAACATTTCACTATTAAGATATCTCACCTGATTCAGATGGTAAAGTCCATTCAAACATGAATTTTTAAGATATTTCTCATGTCTGAAAAGTTGACTCACCCGCTGCAAAAACTAGGTGTCTGACAACCATCTGAATTTAAGATGGCAGATGGCAAAAAACGTCTGAATCTTTAAGTCTCTGCAAATCTAACTGATGTCTGAAAATGTCAAACATCGCTTGTGTCTGAAACTGATGTCTCTATCTTAATTTCAGACATCTTAGTGCCTGAAATTGAAATACCTCCATTGATTCAGACACATTTTAATGTCTCAAAAGTGTCTACAAAATCGTCTCAAAAGTGTTTGAAAAGTGTCTGAAATTCAGACATTAGTTTTCGCAGTGATTTTGAGATTTAAGCCGTTGAAACGATTTACTTCTCTCAAGTAAATATGGTCTACATATTAGGAATTTTTTTTCCCAGTGTAGAGGAAAAGTTGCGATATCTTCAAATTGGTACTTGTTGGCTCGAAAAAAGCCCGAATCTTTCTATCAGGATCTAGGAGCATCCTGTCTTCATCATTATAAGATAATTTTTGACACGTGACGTTGGGCCAATAATAACGACCGTCCGAGTCTTGAAACGCAGTCACAGATGTTTTTTTAACAGTTCCTGGATGAAAACACATTATGAGAAATTTACTCTGAAGATTTTTATTTTCCATTACCTTCCGGCAAACATTCTCGGACGTTTGCAATTGCCCAATGAAGATTCAAGCTATTGCTTTTATCTGACAATTTCGTGATTATCCTGATGGTAAATGGTGATGAATGCGTCGTGACATTTTGCAATTTGATCTTCGCATGTTGCCACTGTGGCAGATCGTGACCAGCCTTTTGAGACACTGAATTACCACGGAATAGTGGTGATATAAGTGACTGATTGTTTCCATCCACTATACTAACTTCCATATCACAGTTAGCACATAATCCTATGAGCATATCTATGCAGATGTCATCGGAATCCGTTGGCTGCAGTTGTGCACTCAATTCAGCTTGAGGTTGCTGCACCATGGTATACGTATCTACAGAAAGAATAGTTATATTCAAAAATTTTTTATGTAGATTGAAGCGAAATGTTCGAACATTATTTTATAACAGGTTACAATTGTGAAGACGGTAGATTTTTGGAACTCCGTCATTTGGATTATCGAAGAAAAAGTAATATTCTTGTTGCGAATCATTCTTGGCTATAGGAGGCTGATCATCGCTATATGACAGAACTAATCCGTCGGGGTCATAAATATTGATGGTACTATTTTCTTCTTGCCAGGTGATTATGAAGGTTTTCCACTCCTCCTTACTCAATGGCCTATGCTGCAAAATGAATTTGTCGTGATAAGGAAAGCATGTTGGGGGGAGAGAAAGTAAAATTAAAAATTACTATGTGGATTTAGTAATCGAGGACCATTTGGAACAACTTTAAAATTTGATTTATCTTAACCGAACGTTTGCAATTGGAAATTCATTTTTAACGATTTCACATAGTAATTCTTGATGGATTAAATGGTATAGAATGCATGGACGAAAAAAATATTTTGTTGAAACAGATAGGGAGTCGTGAGAGATTCTCTCATCACGCGCCTACTGCCGCTTCAAGAATTACTATGTTGCCACAGTAAAAAATAATTTTATATTCTTTCCGTGTGCGGATAAAGGATAAAATGAATCATTTTCAATTTACATTTATGCGCTGGTGAAGGACTTCACAAGACGGGTCTTTCCCAGGGTATTTTCCGTCCCGAACGCCAGCAGTACATTTTCGCACTCCACTATGGGGATCCGGCCTGTCGTACCATCCCCCCAGAATAATCCAGTAACAAAAATTTTCGAAATAAACCGGACTGGTGCACAGAAGAAAATGCGCGTTGCCGTCTCCCCGTATAGAAAGTACTACGGTGCCCGTATCTCTGAGTGTCTTAATCAACTTGAAGTTTTTCCTTTCAGAATTGAATGTCGTATGTTCCTGTAAATCTATAAATCTAAATTATGTTCTGTTCGATGAGTCTTTTTTATTACAATCATACCGTCCCATCTGCTGTCAAAAATTGGACCCATGGGTACATCCAAAGATTCAACCACTTTCCACTGACCGTCCAATTGTGACCATTTTGAAAAGCAAGGATTTAATTCGCTATTGAAATCGCAATTTATTCCATAAGTATCTGGAATAGGACTCGACAGCTTGGGCTCTGGAATAGATTAAAATAACTGAATTCACGATTTCCTCCCATACAGAATAGAATATTGAATCAGATATTTGAAAAATATTACTAGTTATATTGTCTCTATCGAGATAGACTGTATCTTTCTGCTTCCAGACGAGATTTGTATTCCAAATGAGAGGATCGTAAGGATTATCACTGATGCACACTAGCGGACGCATTTGATGCCTAGGCCATGATCCCGGCCAAAGATTCGAAGAACTAGATTTTCCGCGGAACGTAAATAACTGATCACAAAAAACTTCTGACTCGTGTAGAAAAAATACAATTAAAATTGTCAACAACTGCATGATGAATATGCTCGAACCGGACTTTTAAACCGGATTGTAAGCGGAGTTTTGGCGACTGTTGAGATTCCATTGAATAAAAGTTAGACTCGTAATCATGGTACGCTTCTTCCTGCCACAAATGGTGAATCAGCGATAAGAAACCGCTCCGAATAAATGTGAGAGTGAGGAAAAATTCAAAAACATAGCAACGTGAACGGCTTTCAATATTCTGGAGTCACACTATTTTCATTAAAATGTTCCCCAAAATTTTCTCTCCTTGAATGTCTTGAATGTCTGCACCTCAAAGTATTACATAATGCTACACGTGTCATGAACGTACTCCCCTCGCAATGTATGGGGATGCCAATCTAGAGACAATTGCTAGTGGAATAAAACGCAATTATTTTCCATTTCCCCAAGTAAAATACAATACCACGAAATGGATCGATAGCAGTGGTATTGTCCTGAAAGCAAACAATAGATGATGAGTCGAAGAAGGAAATGAAGACTTTCGACGGAACAATAGGAAAAGGGGGAAATATCGTGGTGCATTTGACATATGGTTGAAATTCTGTAATAGCTGTGAATACTAAATTATGTGAGTGGACAATTCGCTGCGTCTTTCCATATCATTCTTCTGCTTACCCTCGAAGGGTCACCACCGATGGCACTTTTAAATGAAAATTTTCTTTTACTCCACTATTTCGGTGTGTGGCCGTCAGCTCATTGGCGACAGAGAACATGGAAAACTGTAGTCTACTCGCTTTATACCAGTTACATAATTTTCTGCATCTATTGGTTTACAATCTCTGGGTCAATTCATTTACTTCTTATAACTGACGATGTTGAAGATTTTTCGGAAAGCTCATTCATGTTGTTATCGTTACTGGCTTTATGTGTTAAAGTTGTTATAGCTCTTTTGAAGAAGTCGGAAATTATTGGACTTCTCACTGATCTGGAAAATTATCCACATAAACCGGCGAATCTGGAAACTCAGTTGTTACAGGACAAAATCAATGAACAGATAAGGTAATACGATTGTCTCCACTAAGAAATTCTATTAGTTTCCTAATGAGGATGACTCATTCCTTGTGATCCTTTCTGTATAAATCCGTGGAAGTAGAAGTTTCGAGTTTATCTACCGTATTTTCTTCATTTCTCCGTGCGAAATCGCTACTGCAGTGAGAAAAAAAATTACTTTTGCCAAGGAATCATTTTCTTGGGAGAAGAATTCATTTTTTGCGGAGCGTATTTCTCCAGGCCAGTCATTATCAAGGAGTCCAAGTCCGTCTCTAAATATTACAATTATGTTCAATTATGGAATGATTATATTACATATGACCTTAAATGAACTCCATTGACAATTATTAACCTTTAAAATTATTTCAAATTATTATACGTTAGACAACCTCGAATTTGAAAAAATTGAAAAATAATGAAGCGTGTTCATTCAAGGTCATATGTAGCATAATCTCATTATTCAACATAATTATAGTATTTGGAGATGGACATGCACCACCTGGGAATGACTGGCCTAGAGAAATAAGCTCCTAAACAAATAAATTCTTCTCCCAAGAAAATGATTCCTTGGCAAAAGTAATTTTTTTTCCCAGTGTGGAAAAGTCGTGTAGAAAAATTAAGCTGAGCTTTTTATCATCAAAATCTTTATCACTATTAAAGTTGGGTGCCAGTTTCTTGTGTTGAATACTTCTTCATATTGATTCATGGTCCCGACTAATTTCTGACACAACCTGGATTCAATTTTGGATAAATCGTGAATAAAGCCCCACGACAGACTGTTCAAACCTTGATTAAACCCGGACTGACAACGAATTCAAGTCTTGAGAGGATCTGAATGTAGAATTATTGGACAGAACGAAACAATACGCAAAACTTTGTTGACATTTCAATTGATGATAATGCTATGACATGACAGAAAAGAGGAAGAGAATAGTGAAACAAAAATTTAAAAAAAGAGAACCCATTTGGAAGCAGATGGCTAATTTATTAAGAACAATAACGATACTCATGCATTAAAAAAATTCTATAATCCACTTGGTTTCTATTAAAATGTGCTAAAAATTGGACAGCAAAATTATATTATTTACAGCTAAAAATCGGCAATCGGACCCAGAATTTTGAATGAAACTTTTAACGAATGCTTCCTGGTCAATTTTCTATACGTGAAGCACACTGTTGAAAATTTTGGTTTGAAATTTCCGGTACACTTTTTGGAAATTTTTATCGAATCTAATTACCACTGAAATTTCAAGGAATTTCGTCATTGAAAATTCAGAATTTCGTAGAAAAATCAAAGAGAACTGTCAATTTCAGTTCCATTTTTCCCTGAAAATCAATAGAAAACCAGAAATTTCCAGTGAATATACTCTTGAATTTTCAAGACAACGACACTGAATGCGATTTAGGGGGAAAAAATCATGAAATTTCAGATTTCACAGAAACTTCAATGTAATTTAGCACTGTATATCCATATCAGATTGTAAATGCAAATCAATTAAGGAATTCTCGCCTTTATGCTGCTTAAAATTCTGGAATTTTACTGAATTTTCAGTGAAACCTGAAATTTCATGATTTTTTTCCTAAATCACATTCAGTGTCACTGTCCTAAAAATTAGTAGTCAACTGTCCATGATAATTCATTTTTTTTCTAACAGTGCAGATGGACCTTTTCAACAGCAAAACCTTGTAACGTCAATTGTTTAACGTTATCTCATCTAGGTTCTGTACACTTTGTTACGGTGGACTCGGAGAGGCTACAGTATGTTATGGCACCATCGCTCCATTTTTCCAAAGCATTCCCTTTGGAGTTCTGCCGTACAAAGCATGGATACCTTACGATTATTCAAAACCTGCGCTCTACTGGACCACCTACTGTCAACAATTGAGCAGTGTTTTCATAGCTGCAAATATTAATTTTGGCTTCGATACCATCATATTTGAATTTATCATGCAAATGTGTGCGCAGTTCAGCATGCTAAAGTATCGAGTGGAAATGATGATTAATGAATTTGATGAGAAGCAGATTCTGTCAGTCAGCAAAATTAATCCGACGCTATTACAGAGTTATGAGGAATATATGACTGATTGTGTTAAATATCACATTGACATATTAAGGTACGAATAGTCAATAATTAAGTGACGGGGAGTGGAACAAAGTGGACACTTGATTTTTTTGAAGTGTTAATAATTCGGTGAAAAATTGATAAAACGGGATATATTTTTGCTTTTGCTGACTTTGTGATATTCTGATTTCACTTGGAAACTACTTGGAATGTCGTAAAACATCCAGATATTATGTTTTTAGAAAATGTCTGTGTGGACATCCGTAAAGTGATAGTTATAAGTCTGACATTTAGGCCCATAATTGCTATTTTTCAGAGGTACTTCTCTGCCAAGTTTTAGTTCGAGCGGTTCATTATTTTTTTAAATACAGCAATTCTCGAAAATTTTCCATTCTCCATATCCCGAAGTGTACTGCATCAAATAATTTTTTTTAGCGCAAAATATTACGTACGATAATATGTATCGAATTAGACCATAATATAGCACGCTAGAAGGGCGAGTCATATAGTAATTGACATATTACTATACGTGAATTACTATATTACTCGCCCCACGATACCTTACGATCGTACACAGTTAGAAAATTACTCCTGAAATTGCAAATAAAAAATCTTAAACTTTTTAATCATCACTCGTTCACACGAAATTTTCATGTATTTTATTATTGAAAAATCAGTTGAATTCCGGAGCATTCAATGGGATTGCAATTTTCCGGTCCACATGATAATGAACATTATTAAATAATTTGAAAATTCAAGCAACAATTTCCCCGAATTTTCAATCCACTGAAAATTCAGTTCGATGTGATGTTTAATTTCAGCAATGAATTTGAAAATGTTAGATGTCATCGAAATATCAGTGATAAATCTAGCATGAAAAACGCAGTTATCCTGAATTTTCAACCCGAATGAGAGATTTCATGAACGACTTGATCTTAAATGGAATTCACATTCACAACATTGAAAATTCAAGTGTAACTATCGCTTAATTTTCAACAAATTTCTAACAGTGTATATATACACTATATATATATTAGAAATTTGTTGAAAATTAAGCGATAATTACTATAGTAATTTACATTTTTGTGATAAAATCTGAGTGGGCACGATAACTCTCAACACAATTGAGGCAGAAAGTTGAAATTTGGTAGGATTTTGGTTCTTACTATATTACTCTTACTACTATTCCAAAATACAACAAGTAACTTTGGAGTGGCTCAACATTTTGTATAAAACAATACTGTCAAATATTTCAAAAAGCATTCATCCGATTTCGATTTTTGTCTCAAAATATTCGTCTCGATGTCTCTTACCTATTTCTTTCAAAAAATATATACCCGTTCATACAAAGTTAACGCCATTTTACAATTTTTCCTATTTTTAATCTCAAACTGCTGGTGACGTTTCATCACGTGAAAAAAGGCTGTGGTGGAGCCCTGAAATGTTAAAAACCATTTGTTATTCCCATTGTGTCTTTTCAGACTATGCAAACGAATAAATACCATCTTCTCCAGCATTATTTTCGTCCAGTATACAGCATCGTCTATCATTATTTGCGTTAGTGTCGTACTGGTATCCCAAATGCCTGTATCTTCACCAAAATTCGTAACAGTTGCCGGCTACATAGCATGTATAATGCTTGAAATTTTTTTGTACTGTGCAGCTGGAAATGAAGCGACCTTTCAAGTAACATCGCCATATTTCGACTATAGAGCGAAAAGAGCGTAACTACCATTTCTTAGCTCATTCACTTTTGCAGCGTAAAAGATCGTACATTTTTGGTACACCATTTTCACTTCATATATGGGTAACTACGCTCTTTCGATAATATATAGTTTTTCAAGATATCATTTTACTCAATATGACAGAAATAAGTATGCAAATTATCTGTAGGATTATGTCTCATTTATTTCGACTCCGTGTCAGTCACGTATTTAGGAATAGCATCTGTTTTAAAGATACGCCCTTTTCGTTTTGAAAAGCCTATTTCTGGGTAATTACGTCCTTTCCACTGCGAGTTTACGATATAACTCTGCTAATGATGTTATTTCAGTGCCAAAATCTGATGACAGCAATTTACAGCACGAAATGGTATTCCCTCAGCGATCGAATGAAGAAATGCTTAGGGTTCATGATGGCTCGTTCAATGAAGCCAATCACTTTTGTGAGCCATCACATGATCGTCCTCTCGTTGCCGTCTTTTTGCGTTGTACGCTCATTACTCATATAACTGAGAGCAAACACTGTTGAGAACTAATCTAATCATTATCTATTTACAGCTCCTCAAAACTTCCTATACGGCATACACAATGCTACAACAATTTGCTGATTGATATCGGCTGTTGTAATATTTTTTACTTATAAGACTTTCTTTAGGATATACCAAATTTACTCAATGAATTGTTGAAAATTCATAAGCATACTCTGTAAACTTTGTGAGGAATGAAAATGATGCCAAATAAAATGATGAGATTAATTGGAACTTACGAATTCTGATTCTACCGATTTGTATGGATTACATTGTAGGTTTCTCAATATGAGTAATGATATCTGCAGAATTTTTCTGATACCAATTTTACTTTATGATCGACGGTAATGTTTCTAACGAGTTACATATAAAAAAAATCTGATGGAAAACTTGCTGTTTTCTCTAAGGAATTCTATTAATATTCCTAAAAATTCTTGGACATGAATTTTTGACGAAGACACGTGTTTAATTTCATGTGGTGAATTCTAGATTTTTCTAGAAAATTTGAGAAAACTCTGAGGTTCCAATTTGTGTCAATCCATACAATGAACAAAATCGTAAGCGTCTAAGGCCCGGTTGCACCAAGCCCTGTTATCCAAATAAACCCCAGGGTAAAATTTATCCTCGGGGTCAATTATCCCAAAATTTACTTTTTTTCTTATCCGACGATTACGTTACCCGGAGCTGGTACAACCGGGGCTAAATCCTTTGTACAGTAGTTAGACTCGCCTCTAGGCGATGACTGATCCATTAACAACACACCAACATATCGATAATAATGATGCAACCGCACATTAAGGTATATCCCAAGACAATACCATCTAAAAGTTAGTCGCTATGAATTTCCGGAAAAAATTCTGAACGACTTCATTTATTGCATTCTTATAAGTTACTCCGTTTTTCTCTTCTTATATATTGTTGAAGGCAACAATAAGTTCTTCAATCAAAAAAGCAATGATTTCACGAAATTTCCATTTTTTTAGAATTGAATATCGCAGAAACTATGTACTATAAAGTTTTACAAAAAAATCACTCTATTCAGAATTTAGCAATCAACCAGGTACATTTGTTGAGAACATCACAAGAACCATTTTCTTATAAAATGGAAAAATCGAGTTCGCGGGGAACTTCGCGTGCTAGAAGCCCACATTTCATTATTTATCATCTTCTAATGTGTGTAGTACAGCTAGACAGTACAGTTAGAATGTTATTCAATAGCTGGGTATATTATAAACATTATCTATGAAAAACATGGCGACAATCGTAAGAAAAACCTATCCCTTTCTATGGATATACCTCAAGTCTAACTGCTGTATCAAGCTCTATACAGTCAGCTCAGATTTTTTCTGAATTTTTGGGCTCAAGATTTGTGACAAGCAAAAAGAATACAGCACGAAAACAAGTTCATGCCAAAGGATTTGTACTGAAAAAATCTTGGGGGACATTTCTATTCCACTTACACATTTCTTATTAGACTCCTCTTCGAAGTTACAAGCTTAGTGCAATGTAAGCAACGTTTTTCTGCAAACGAATATCACTGAAGTGCTCTACCTCCCAATGTATGCAAATGGAACCTTAACTATCAACAATACCCGAGTAAAACTCAAATATTCCCTCTCGTTCGAATTGAATTTCAATACCAAGAAATGAAAAGCGGGAGTTATTGTCTCCTGAAGAGAACAATAGGTTGGAAAAAAGGCCGGAGCAGCAGAAAAAAGAGGGATAATGTGAAGAATATCGTGGGACATCGGCATATGGTTGAAATTCTGCGATAGCTATAAATACTAAATGATGTGAGGGGACAATAAACTGAGTCCTGCCATGTCATTCTTCTGCTTGCAATCGAAGAATCACCACCGATGGCACTATTAAAAGAGAGTTTTCTTTTGCTTCACTATTTCGGTATATGGCCGTCAGTTGATTGGCAACCCAGAACGTGGAAAACCATAGTTTACTCGCTTTACACCTGTTACGTAATTTTCAGCATCTATTGGTTTACAATCTCCGGATCTGTTTATTTACTTGTTATAAGTGACGATGTTGAGGATTTCTCTGACACATCATTCATGTTGCTATCAATGCTGGCTATATGTGCTAAAGTGATTATAGCTATTTCGAAGAGATCGGAGATTATAAGTGTTCTTACTGCTCTGGAGAATCATCCCCATAAACCGGTGAATTTGGAAACTCAGTTGTCACAGGATAAAACCGATGAACGGATCAGGTAAGCAAACGTTTTTTAAAGAACAATGAATTAATGAAGTACTTCAACCAAGTGTTGGAAGTGGTTTTGGGTCATATTTCGGTCAGCAGCAGTCAAAATAATCACAAGAATTTACTCAACAGATTGCGCAACGTTCCGAGCGCTTCCGGCGCTCCTCCTCCGATGCATGTTTTATTCAACTAATAAATCCATAAGGGAATAAATCAAGTATCCGTTGTGTACAATCAACGCTAGTAAAACTGATCGACATAACGTGTTTTCGTGTCAATAAATAAAGAATGGTGACTGTTGCTGTTCGAAATATGGCCCAAAACCACTTCCACCATTTGAAAATAAGCAGGTCAGAACTTCGCTTTAATTTGTGTACTTGAATCAAGGTTTTTTACAATTTGTTATGGTGGACTCACGGAAGCTACGGTATGTTACGGAACCATCGCTCCATTTTTCCAGAATATACCTTTCGGGTTTCTGCCGTACAAAGCATGGAGCCCTTACGATTACTCATCATCTCTCATTTACTGGTGCACCTTTTGTCAGCAACTAATCAGTGTTTTCATGGCTGCAAATCTCAATATTGGGTTTGACACCATTATTTTTGGCATACTCATGCAAATTTGCACGCAATTCAATATGCTCAAGTGCCGATTGAAGATGATCGTTGATGAGTTTGATGCGAAGCAGATTATGATGAGAAGCGCTAGTGATCCAATGATACTGCGATCCTATGAAAAATATATCGTGGATTGTGTCAAATATCACACCGCAATATTCAGGTATGAGTGATAGTTCTTTAATCTTTCGTCCTGGATTTTTTTAACAAGCAGGGGGCTATGCCCCCTGCTCGCTCCGCTCGCCAACCTCTATATGACCCCCATGACCTTTATTTTGATCCNATCGAAGAATCACCACCGATGGCACTATTAAAAGAGAGTTTTCTTTTGCTTCACTATTTCGGTATATGGCCGTCAGTTGATTGGCAACCCAGAACGTGGAAAACCATAGTTTACTCGCTTTACACCTGTTACGTAATTTTCAGCATCTATTGGTTTACAATCTCCGGATCTGTTTATTTACTTGTTATAAGTGACGATGTTGAGGATTTCTCTGACACATCATTCATGTTGCTATCAATGCTGGCTATATGTGCTAAAGTGATTATAGCTATTTCGAAGAGATCGGAGATTATAAGTGTTCTTACTGCTCTGGAGAATCATCCCCATAAACCGGTGAATTTGGAAACTCAGTTGTCACAGGATAAAACCGATGAACGGATCAGGTAAGCAAACGTTTTTTAAAGAACAATGAATTAATGAAGTACTTCAACCAAGTGTTGGAAGTGGTTTTGGGTCATATTTCGGTCAGCAGCAGTCAAAATAATCACAAGAATTTACTCAACAGATTGCGCAACGTTCCGAGCGCTTCCGGCGCTCCTCCTCCGATGCATGTTTTATTCAACTAATAAATCCATAAGGGAATAAATCAAGTATCCGTTGTGTACAATCAACGCTAGTAAAACTGATCGACATAACGTGTTTTCGTGTCAATAAATAAAGAATGGTGACTGTTGCTGTTCGAAATATGGCCCAAAACCACTTCCACCATTTGAAAATAAGCAGGTCAGAACTTCGCTTTAATTTGTGTACTTGAATCAAGGTTTTTTACAATTTGTTATGGTGGACTCACGGAAGCTACGGTATGTTACGGAACCATCGCTCCATTTTTCCAGAATATACCTTTCGGGTTTCTGCCGTACAAAGCATGGAGCCCTTACGATTACTCATCATCTCTCATTTACTGGTGCACCTTTTGTCAGCAACTAATCAGTGTTTTCATGGCTGCAAATCTCAATATTGGGTTTGACACCATTATTTTTGGCATACTCATGCAAATTTGCACGCAATTCAATATGCTCAAGTGCCGATTGAAGATGATCGTTGATGAGTTTGATGCGAAGCAGATTATGATGAGAAGCGCTAGTGATCCAATGATACTGCGATCCTATGAAAAATATATCGTGGATTGTGTCAAATATCACACCGCAATATTCAGGTATGAGTGATAGTTCTTTAATCTTTCGTCCTGGATTTTTTTAACAAGCAGGGGGCTATGCCCCCTGCTCGCTCCGCTCGCCAACCTCTATATGACCCCCATGACCTTTATTTTGATCCTTCTGTTATGCCCCAGATTTGGTCAATTGCGTTATTGTTTAATATGTGGACATACAGCATTGTCAGCGTTACACTTGCCAGTGTAACTGTATTATGCTGACCAAGTGATGAAATGTAAACAATCAATGTATTATTTAAGAGATGGTTGAGTCTGCACAGATCAGACCTGAATTGGACTCCGACGCGTAGTCGTAAACTCTTTGTAATCAGTCTGATGGCCCAGTAATTATAATCATGTAATAAATTCTCATACTTAAATGCTGATAAACCATTGGTGGGATTTATTCCCTTAAGCCTAGAACCTACTATTTCTGACCCTTAATTTTGAAGTCTGAATTTCCAGTAGGAAATTTTCATCACCAGAAGTCGATTTGGATTTATAATATGATGGCGTTCACCCCCCCCCCCCGGGCCGGGGTGTTGATGCCCTTTCTTTATATCCCTTTTCCTGTCAGATTCGATGTTCTATTTTTTAATTGTTTATAATCATTCTCATTTCAAAAAGCAATATGAGCGATCAAAATCATGTCACAGTTTATCAACTTTGTTCGAAGAAAACCTTAGTAAACGCAAAATTAAGAAAGTAAAATTATTTTATTTTTCACTGACCTAAATGATTTGGACAATTATGGTTCGTTCATTCATGTTTCATAGAATGGTATTCAATTCTCTTTTGTTTGATAAGCGAGCTTCATGAAAATTCGATGCAAGACGATTGTACTCATGGAAACCGCCTTACTTTCTCCATTCATTCGAGATATTGCTCATGCTTTTATTAGGAAGGATTTTATATATCTGTTTGAATACACATGCAGTTTAGTTAAAAATTTGAGCTCGTTTAGTGGGGAATTCTGCTCAATTGTATAGTCAAATATGATACTGCGGAATATAAACCGGAGGAATGAAACTAGTTCTAAATCAGAAACAGTCGAATTTTTTTCTTGAATTCTTAAAAGAAAAATTATTGTTTTCTTTTCAAATTTTAATTCAATGCTCCAGAATTTGATTTCCTGAGTCATGCTTATTTGGGTCATTCCTTTTATGTTCTTTGAAAAGTGTAGGGGAGGGTAGAGCAAAACGGACCCCTAAGACAAAACGAACTACTGACAGAAAATAGGTAATTTTTTTTTTTTTCGTTTCTTCAAATCAGGAACACTGAATGTGTTGAATTAAAAGTGACTTTCTTGGATCGCAACCGACACGGGGATTTTATGGACGAGTGTCGTTGAACCGCAATTTGATCAGATTTACTGATCACCTCAAACCACAAATGACTTCGAATTTGCTCTATTCGGAAACAAAAACAACAATTATCAATCAATCAATCAATAATAATAATTATCAATTATCAATCTTCTGTCAGTGGTCTGCCTTGCCCGCCTGGTCCGTTTTGCCCTACCCTCCTCTACAAATTTTCAGTATTGTTTTTTCAGTATTAAATCAGGTTGAATTGTGAACGAATTATCGAATTGTTTATCCTTGCCCCTTTCAGAATATCAAAAAAAATCAATTACATCTTTAACAGCATTATTTTCGTGCAATACTCCGCATCTGCCATAGTCATATGTGTCAGCGTCTTGCTGATATCACAGATGCCCATGTCCTCCCCGAAATTCATGACGGTTGCCATGTACGTAGCATGTATGTTACTCCAAATTCTCATGTTCTGCGCGGCTGGAAATGAAGTTACACTAGAAGTAAGATAATAACCATGACATATTCAGAGAAATGAAACTACTCATGATTCCATTCTAGTGCGAAAGTCTGACAACGACCATCTACAATACGAAATGGTATCTCCTGAGCCCTTCCATGAAGAAATGTCTGGGTCTCATGATGGTCCGTACCTTGAGGCCAGTCATCTTTGTGAGCCATCACATCATCATTCTATCCCTGCAATCTTTTTGCATTGTGCGCATGATTAATTAGAAAACAAATAATTTTAGGAATTACTCTATTGATGAACTATTTACAGCTTCTCAAATCCTCCTACTCGGCGTATACCATGCTTCAACAATTTTCTGGTTAATATTTATTATCGAACTATTTTATACTCGTAAGTATTAATTGACGATAAACCTAAACTTGACCGGTTAACTGATTCTTCTTGCCGAAATGACATCTATCATAATAAACTCTGTTGGGAGCCGACAAGATGATGCAAAATTTAAAAAAAGATGTCGAGGACTCCTGGATGAATTTCTGATTGACCCTCTTCCTGATTCTCTATAATTATTATTAATATTAATATAATTTAATAAAAAATTTAAAATTCTTCTATTTTCGAGAATAATTCTCTGAGTCTCCTGCAATTTTTCATCAACGTACATTGTTGAAATACTTCATATTTGTAAGTGCTCATCAATAAAATACCAAATTTGATCAACGTTCTGGTTTATCGAGGTTCATCGAAACCGAGATGAAGATAAAATTGAAAAAAGAAAAAGATCGCCTGCGACCGTTTGCGTAAAAGTTATTAACAATTCAATTGTTTGAACAGAGTTTGTTTAAACAGAGACGACCAACCAAGATGAAGGAAATTATCGCAAATAAAAGATGGTAGGGGTGGGTAGGGCAAAACGGACCGGGAAGGAAAACCGACCACTGACAGAAAATTGGTAATTTTTTGTTTTTCTTCTTTCCTTCAAAGCAGGAACACTAAATGTATTGAGTTAAAAGTAAGTTTCTTGGATCGTAATCATCACAGGGGTTTTATAGACAACAAGTGTCGTTGAACCGCAATTTGATCGAATTTCCTAATCACTTTAAACCACAAATGACTACAAATTTGCTCCTTTCGGAAGCAAAAACTAAAGTTATAAATTCTCTGTCAGTGGCGCGTTTTGCCATAAGAGTCCGTTTTGCCCTACCCTCCCCTACTAATTAAAGCAAACATATTGGCTGTTAGGTATTCTTTTCCATTCGAATTATTCAAGAAGATGTTTAGACGTCATCTAATGATGTTAAAACTCCACCTAATGAACTACGCAAGAATGAAAACGAAAGGAAGTAACATTCTGAAAACAAAATTGAAAACTTCTGAACGAATTCCCGACAGATCTATACTTCTCCCTCTTGTCTAGAAACAGCCATCGATACCCCATTTAAAATTCCCCCGTTCTAAGCGAAATATTCTCCCCCCTTGATGTATCCAGAGACAATTTCCCCTTTCATGGAACAGTAACAATCCATAAATGATGAAGTGCCACCAGTTATGTCGCTACCTTTTCGACTTGCGACTGGAAAAAAGATTATTTCAACAGCAATACAAAAGGGGTTTGACAAACTACCTGGGATATTGCCATGTGGTTGAAAAACTGCCCTGTGTCTAGAATATTAAATGACGTCGGTGAAAACTGCGCTAGCCATTGTTATCTCATTCCTGTTGCTGGAGTCGAGGGGTTGACATGGTTCTACTACGGGAAAGCTTTCTATCCCTCCAGTACTGCGGTATGTGGCCGCCGCTTCACTTGGAGTCAAAGAGCTGGCAGTATCGGACTTATTCGCTATACACGATTTACGTTATGGCCGTTATGTACTGGTTCACATTATCAGAACTGATTAATCTACTAATTACAACCGATGATATCGAGGATTTTTCTGATACGTGTTTCATGCTGCTATCGACAGCAGCTGTATGTGCCAAAATTCTCATAACTCTGATGAAGCGATCGGAGATTAGAGATGTTCTCGTTACTCTTGAGAGTTGTCCACATAAGCCGATGAATTCGGAGGAGCAGGCGATTCAGGACGAATATGATGGACAGGTCAGGTGAGAAAATTCTCGTCTCAACACCTGTGCACCCAGAGAAATGGCGCATTTTAATTAAATAAAACTCTTTATTTTCATCTAAAATCATTTGTTTATATTTAAAGGACTTATTTGATGTGAGATGAATGTAAATACGAATCAAATGAACGAAAATGGTTTGATTGAAAAACTTTATTCCAACGAAACATTTCCCTGGGTGTAAAGAAAGTTATATATGCCATCACAGAGAGGGGAGTTTCCAGGTACAAAATCCATAAGATTTGGGATTATGTCATTGAAGATTAGTCCAAAAATTATTTGATTTTAGAATTTCTAACTCGTTAAATTTTCGATTAGCAGAAATTACAAAAAAAAATTTTCTCTGTGATTTTTTTTTACTGTTTAAAGTGCTCAACTCTGAATTGAATTATTTACACTGCCGCTTATTACAACAATATTGGGTGTAAACCCTCGCCTATATCAGTTATTGGTTAGCATATTTCATAGCATTCTAATTTTTCGTCCTTCCAGCATAATAAATTTTTTTTTTATAATTCTACACGTTTAAATCACATTCTTTAAGAAAATTACATATCTGCTCTACATATTTATAGTCTGGTGCCTCTGCAAATTTTTTTGTGGTGTATTTTGTGGTGATATTTAACTTTTTTGGTCGCAGATATCTCGGCATATATATCTTTTCCGTGAGGAGAGATAAGCAATTAGTTGATTGTGACAATTCTTTGTGAAGATTTCTTACCCTCTTTTATGGTGTGGCTACAGAAATAACGGTATGGTGCATGACCATCTTCACGTTCTTTCAAGGGATACCTTTCGGGGTACTGCCGTACAAGGCATGGGTACCCTACGATTACTCGGAACCTAGGGTGTACTGGTTCACTTATTATCAGCAATTACTGAGTGTTCTTCTTGCTGCCAACCTCGACATTGGATTTGACACGATTATTCCGGGGTTTATGCTACAGATATGCGCGCAGTTCAATATTTTGAGGTGCAGATTACATCGGGTTGTTAATTACTTTGATGACACGGGATGCTCAAAGGCCAAATCTTGTGAGGTTTTGGAACTTTATGAAAACCATCTCGTTGACTGCATCAAATATCATCGTGATATATTCGAGTATTGGTCCTCACAATTTTTAGAGTGAATTAATTTTAATTAGTGTTTGCGTGTTACATTGCAAATTTCTTATTGCAGAATGGCTAAAAAAATTAATTCCATTTTTACGGGCATCATTTTCGTGCAATATGCTGCGAGTTTCATCATTATATGCGTCAGTGTGCTACTTATTTCGCAGATGCCATTATTTTCTCCAAAGTTTTTAGCACTCTTCATGTACCTCTCATGCATGCTCTTGCAAATCTTCATGTTCTGCGCTGCTGGGAATGAAGCCACGATCCAAGTACTATAATTTAATAGTTTTCAGTAAATAATGATAATGAGAATAGCTCGTGCTATTCTTTATTACGTATGTGAAATTAATGTGAAAAACCATTAGAATCGGGAAATTTCAAGTATGAAAAATTTGATAGGAAACCTAGTGCATTCGCTAAAAAAATTCTATCAGGAATTATAATAATTTGTGGCCGATTTCTATTTAATATTATGTACATTTCCTGAGAGATTTTTTAAGAGATATTCGATAGAAAAAGTCAATCTACATTTTTTCCTTCAAGAATTCTTGGGCACAATGGTTCAATATTGTTGTTCTTGGATATTATGATGAGAAAGAGGAATATTGTTGTCCAATAATTTTCATAGAAAATTTTTTATATAGAAGAATGGACATCTATTGACTTTTTTCTGTCAAATATCTGTCAAAAAAGTTTTCAACAGACATCGTTCACAAATTAATAGAATTTCGAATAGAATTGTAATTGAAATTCAATTACATTTCTTGTTGAAAGCGTTGCATTTTCCTATTCAATTTCTTTATACGCGACAAAAACCTAACAACTCAATTATTGGAAAAAATAATCATCATTTCCAATAAATTATAACAATAGTTTTTTACATACACATCAATCTTCTAGGAGAAATTATTGATGACGTGATTTCAGTGTCAGAGTATGATAAATGGAATCTGTGGTACTAAATGGTACCTTCTGGAAAATCGTATGAAGAAATACCTCGTACTCATGATGCTTCGAACTTTGAGACCCGTTAGATTTGTCAGTGGATTCATCATCGTTCTCTCTCTGGATTCTTTCTGCATTGTATGTACACATTCATTACGAACATGTACGAAAAAAAGTTTAATGAAGAAATCTAGCGCATGCACTAGGAAATTCTATCGAAAAACTATTTATCTTTCGTTAATTCTACAGAAAAATTCTGCAGCATTTCTTGATTTTTTTTTAAACTAAAAATGTTCTTTAGAGAATCTTCTATAGAAAAAAATGTATATTTTTTTCACCTTTTTATGCAGCTCATTCTACGGGGATTATTTCTATAAAAATTCCTCGACTCAACATTTCCAAGTTTTTTACTTACATTTTTTAAATGAGAATTGAGGAAATGCACCAAACTTATTCCATAAGTTCTGCCGAAAAATTTCATCAAAATCTATCTAAATTTATCGCCAAATGCTCTAGTCTTCTCTATTGAATTTTTTAATATGTGAATGCATATCTGCATGAGGATTGTTCTAACGAAAAAACTATCCGCAGCTTATCAAAACGTCTTACTCCGCTTATACAGTACTACAAAGGTCTTCGAGTTGATTCTCCTCAAAATATCGAAACACCAAATCAGCCATTGACCCAATGATGGAAAATCCGTTGGAAAAATTTATTCAATATTGTACAACTTATGATTAAAATTTCATTACAAAAAGTCCATGTAAAAAAATATCGTAATTCGAATGACTAATTGAAATTTCTTTTGAGAATGACATTTTCATAGAAAATAGGTACTCGATCAGGCTGAGAAATTTGGTATCCATGAGTGGACTCGTCTGTGTCGGCTGAAAGTACATCTGGGGCCCAGAAGGGCGAGTAGTGCCAGCGCAGCGCCGAGTAACGATACACCGCATAGTGCACCAGCTGTGACATCATGCAGGGGAGTCCCCGGACGCGGTTGTTTAGATGCTAGAAGGAGTAATCCTAGGCAGCTTATGGCTGACAATCCAGCGAGCCCTAGACCTGTCCAGGTTCTTCGCAAACTTCTGCAGGCACCGGCTAGGGCACAACAGAGTCCACATCCAGCAGCGCTATCCAGATAGTATCTGAAGAGAACAATAATTCCACGAACTTTTAATTGGAACATTATTATTTGAAGTTTATGAAAACTAGAGCTTGAGCTTGAAGCTTTACGCACGAAAAAGAACTACAGAGAAACCTAGTTAATTCCCACTGAGAAAAATTACGATGGTAATTTTAACTGCAAGGCAATTGTCAAAGAAATTATATTTACAGTAACAATAAACTTTGTAGATTAAACGAGGATTGATCGTTCGATTTACTATGTCAAACAGTGTTGTCAACATTGTGATGTAATTTTCACTTTAGTTTAATAGTTGAATCTACAATGTTTATTGTTACCGTAACTATTATTTTTTTGACAATTCCCTTGTAGTTGGAATTACCACTGAAATTTCTCTCAGCGCGATAAAAATATTATTGGGTTTTTATTGAATTTTCATTGAAAATTCAATTTCATTGAGAATTCCGCAGTTTTACCGCAAGTTTTTTGTGTAGAAAATAGCCAATTGAAACTATTTTATAGAAAAAACCAATAGAATCTCATCTTTCTATAAAACTTTTTCTAATCAGAATTTTTTTATTGAACTTCTCGACATGATATCCCAAGTTTTTTCGACTCGTTTTTTCTTTTCTCTTCATAAAAACAATCGACAAAAAAATTAAGCGAAATTGAGCCGAAGGAATTCTGCGGAAAATATGTGAATTACATAAGTTATATAGAAAAATCGAATTCTATTGATTTTTTCTACAGAATATTTTCCTTTGAACGCGTCTGTCGAAATAAGAAACGCGCAGATAAGCTACGAAATTTTTCAATACAATTTTTCAATGCAATTAGAGATGAAGTAAAACTTCATCTGAAGTTTCAGCCAACCTGGAAGCTTTTCTTTGAAAAAAGATATAAGTTCATTAAAAATATTTATTTTTCTGCACTCACTTTCTTCCTTGTGACCATGATAAATATAAAGCCAATCCACAAGTCAAAATTCCAACTAGAATCAGGAGCAGAGGCGCACGCTTTCGTTCTTCTTTCTCAGTTCCACTTATCAGTGTTGTGTTAGCTTCGCTGATTGGTGGTGAAAGTGGGGGTACCTGATCAAAAAAATATTCCCACTTATCACAGACCTGTCAGTCATGTTGAGGGGAGGTTCGCCCTGAGAAAATAAACTTTGTCGTTGTTCGAGAAAAAAATTAGAATTATTATTTTTCGCGTGGTTTTTCTCAGGAATCTTATCGATCAAAATTGTCTCCGGCCGCTCAAAATTAGGGAATCAAACGTGGTTTGTTGATAGTTTTTCGAAGAATCCCCAAAAAATAGACCAAGGGAAATTTTTAAGTTGGGTAGGCTTTAGCATGTTTTGGGTGTGTGGCCTATTTTTTCTTGGTCTATTTTTTCCGCCTTCCCCGTAATCCCGCTTTGATCAACGCACTTTCTCCCTAAAATTCAGATAGGTGCATTTTTCTGCACGGTTTCCATTAACTTCCCATTTTTCTTGCGATAATTCAGTCATTCTAATTAATACTCATAAATATTTGCGACCATCTAATCGATCCATTGGAAATAACGACATTTGGGTTGATCAATAAACTCAAAAATGTATCTTCTCCCGCGATTTTTGTAATTGAGGAGCAAAAGTTTGCAGGGGTGAGTGGGGTAAAACGGCCCCTTTTTATTTTGTCAAAAATGTTAAAAGCTCATTCAATTTTAAACAAAATGAAATAGTTTTTTTCCATGGAAACTACACTTCTTCCCCTTTAGAATGAGCCTAGACTGACCTCAATTAATGAATTTGTTTCTGAGTTATGAGTATCACAAAAAAAATTGAAAAGTGCCGTTTTACCCCACTCTCCCTTAATCGAATTTAAAAAACAGTTTAAAAAAGTAAGTGCGCTTTGTTCAAGTTGATTTTTTAATAAAAAAAATACCATCTCCCATTTTAGCGGTCTGTGGCGAATGTGACCTACGAAAACGCAGTCCTGAGGAAAAATCACGCGTATTTCAACAGTATTTCAAAATTTTTTCCTCGAAAAACGAAAAATTTTCTTTCGCAGGGTGAATCTTCTCTTGAGACCGTGTAAAAAAATATGGAAGACTCACGACAGCTGTTCTCGCGATGAATGCACTTTCCACATTCGTATAACCACCTCTTTTAGATGTCTGCGATAGCACCTGGTACTTCGGTGATCCGATGACCATGGGTATTGACTCCGAAGTGGACTCGACGAATGCATACCGCGGTGGAGGTTCACCGAACCGTGAGGATAATTCTATCGGTGATGTCGCTAATGATCCGTTGCCCTCGCGACGCGATCCATAGCGAGTCCTGCCGTAATTTCCTAATTCCTGCTGCTCATTCAAAGGAAGACATCTGCGTGCCGAAGGGGTGTCTTTATTGGGCGTCGACGTTTGAGGGGTTCTATTAGGTGAGAATGCACGTTGCGGCGTGCCGACAGGGGTTCCTCGACGGCTTGAGCCTGGAACTACTCCGCGACCTGCTTGACAGGAAGTTTAATAGATAAAATGACAGCTGTTAAAACAAAGTATCAGCTAACGATGAAATTTGTTCGATTGTATTGTTGTGAGAAGGCATGAGTTCTCCATGTTCATTTTTTTGTCAACATCTCGTTAATGAAGTGGGAGGAGGTGACAGGGATCCGTCAGAGACCCTTTTTTGTGACCCTTTGAATTTTCTATGAATAAGGAGAAGTCTTGAATGTTTTAGACTTCTCAGATATTTTACTATGAAGGTATTTTTGAAATAATGAAGCAGTTATTTTCAGACTTCAAGGGAACTATTGATCATGGAAAATTTAAAAAAAACCGCCAGAAAGCTATTTTTTTTAAGCGTTCACGAATTTTCTCTTTGATTTTCGATCATTTCTATGTAGTAGGGGACGATACGGCAAAACGGACCGGCGGGCAAAACGGACCGCAGGACAAAACGGACCACTGACAGAAAATTGATAATTTTTTCAATTTTTGATAGTTTTTGGTTTCGAGTGGAAGTAAAAACAAAAAGGCAAAGTCATTTGCGGTTTGAGGTGATTAGCAAATCTCATTAAATTGCGGTTCAACGACACTTGTTGTCTATAAAACCCCTGTGACGGTTATGATCCTGAAATTCACTTTTAATTCAACAAATTCAGTGTTCCTGAATTGAAGGAATGAAAAAAAAACAAAAATTACCAATTTTCTGTCAGTGGTCCGTTTTGCCCCCCCCCCCCTCCACCCTACTGAATAAAATTACTAGAGCAAAATAATCTAGAAAGATTATCCACTGCCCATCGCGTTCGAAACCCCTCCAATTCCTTCAAGATAAAATCTGTAATGCACCTGCAGGTGAGGTCGCAGCGCTCATAGGTGGAGTGAACCTGGGAGTTCCCCTCCCGGGGGAGAGGTTCCTCTCCTCCGATCGCGACCTCTTCCTCGGTGTCGCCAACATGGCATGCAACCTCTGCGTCGCCAAATTATTCTTCGACGTATTCTCCCGTAATTCCTGTTGTTCCCGCGCATTGCGTTCCGGTAACAAGGGCGGCTCTTCATCGTGCATGGGTACCCTTCCATAACGCCCTAAAATGCGAAACATCACCCCAACTTTGATAATCGAAAACCAAGCGTACAGAGTAATTACACGGTGCTTTGTAACAAAGTAAATGGTAAACGGGAGGAAGTCGAGAGGAATAACATACCACGAGGGGAGGACTGACCAATGCCGAGCAGAGGGGACGAGTCGCAGTCGACGTTGGCCTCGTCCGCGGGCACCAGTCCATAACGCACGACTTCATTTCCGTTCTGACGAGTCCGGCGGATCCTGTGGACTGTCTCATTATCATCGATACTCGGTGTCCTGCGATAGTGGTGGCCGTGATAGCTGGCCTGCCGGGTGAACTGTTGGTCCTGACGCTGCGAGAGCATCTCAAAACGCGTCAGGGAGGCTCGTCTCTGCAGGCGGGGCTGAGGCTGCGGGGGTGGTTCGTCATCGTCGATGTATTCATACCGCGACTTTGTGTTTCTGTCGTAGATAACGCGACGCTCCTGCGCCTCGACGTTTCGCACTGTCTCGTCGAGATAACAGCATCGGTCCGTTGTCCTCCCGTATCTGTCGACTTCAATGGCGTCGGGATCGGCACGACTCAGGAGGACCTCATTTGTGTGGCCATATCTTCCCGGATAGTTTGTATTTTTAATTGGAATGGGGACTGATGGCGGCACGGAGGGCGGGGGCGGCGGAGGGAGATCGTCGGCTTGGAAGGCCGGAGGGGGTGGCAACTCGTCGTCGTCGTGATCTTGGACGAACTCGGATTGACGACAGAATGAGGGGTTCGTGTAACAGTGCACGGCGGATGGCGAAGTTGCTTGAGCCATTCTTTGTTAATGCTAAATTTAGGGGAAGTTGTAACTGATTTGGTCCAATTATGATCGATTCAATCAATGACACATCACTTTTTTATGACAATCACTAGTGCACTGCTGGAGAAGGATACCCTCCTCCAGGTCTCCAACGCGAGGATAACAGACTGCACTTGTGGTCTGATGATCCGAGTCGATGAATCACGGAAAACTTTGCTGCACATTTTCTGGGGAAACTTCAATTCGGGGGAAATTTAAAGTCATTGATGATGAGTTTGGAACGGAGAGATTTTCGGGGAACTTCGATGTGGTAATTCCAATGGACAATTGGGGCGATGTGTGCACCGTTGGAATGTTCGAACCGCACTGAAAAGAAAACGACCAGTAACAGGACAGAGGAATGGAGGCAGCTGCATGCGTGAGTCGAGAAATGACGGTTTCCGTGTGGCTCAGAGGGGTTGCTTGTCACGGGGTACGAGTGTTATACGGGCCCGGTGTCCTTCCCCTTCTCCCCCACTGATCCCCCCTCAGCGCTGATGGTGAGTTACGCCCAGGCCCACTTTTCAATATCTATAACGGACTCTTGCTAGCGTACTTTGGGTCGCTTTATTCATTTTGAGTCAGCTACTTCGTCGTTTAGTTGGGGACCAAATGAGACGAGATTAGTGATCCAAATGCGTCACATGAGCCGGCGTATGACTGTCACGTAACGGGGGGTTTCTGATGGCTGTCAACCCTCCTCCCCCGTCTGTGATCGTCGCAATTTTTCAAGGGAAAATGACAGTCATTTTTCATTTTACACTGCTGAAAATTTTACTCTGAATTTTCCGTGTCAATTTCCGAATATTTTTATGATGTTTAATTTTCACTGAAATTTCAGGAAATGTTGTCATTGAAAAATTACATATTCCAGTGATTTTTTGGTTGAATGCGTTGAAAATCTATCAAACACTTGATTTTTCATATTGTAATACGAAGTTTTATTATTCTTAGTATCACTAAATTAAGTTAGACTATTTTATTTTATTTTCTTTCCATTTCCGTCTTTACAATTAGATTAATTTATTATTTTCAAATGAAGAAATATTTGTGATAAATGATAAGGAGAGTATTGATATTTTTTGTTGGGATGATGATCGATTCGCAATAAAATAAAAATTTCGATTTTTCAATGTCTCCGGAAAGTTTAAACATTAATATATTTTTTCAAATAATGAAAGAGTACCCATCAATTCAATTTCTATCGTCACATTTTGATAGTAAACATTAAAAAATAGCAAAGAATAAAAATCGGAGATGAAAAATTTTATCGGAGTAATATAATGTAATAATATAATTCGAAAAGTTACTATGTAGTTCGAAAAATATTGTTTTCCTTTGTACCATCACTTGTAGTCGGAAAATTTGTGCGTCACACGACCGTCACTCTTTGTTCCCATGACGCGGGGAGTCGTCGGGGCATTGCTAATACAGCGCAGATCGGATGATCTCTCATTTGAATCAGAAACGAAACTATGGGACAACACAGTTGCATCACGCAAGTTGGAACTTTCGTCAAGCCGAGTGTATGCATGTTTTTCCACGCAGCTGTTGCGACCGTTGGAGAGTTTCGGGGCGCGTGCGTGGCGCACGGCCGTCTGACCCCACAGCTGCCGATAACACAAGCTACCATGTACCTTTAACCGAAATGCGTATAGACGGGGCAAATACCGCGTGAGGGATCATCAAATTGATTGTGTTTGAATAGAAGGACAAAACAGATCAATGAATAGACATGCGTTACAAAAGAAATTCACTTTATTTTTTTAATTACAACTACACTGATCGTAGGTATACTTTCCAATCGAAAGCCTACGTGAAGGTACACTTTAGCTTAATAATGATAGTATTCAACGTTAAACTATTGCAAGATTCCGAACACATGTATCGAAATTCTCGATTTTTCATTTTAATGATTTCTTTTCTTAATTCTCTTTTTACGGGTTTTATATTTTCTATTAATTCATCAGTCAATTTGTTTACAAAATATCAGTGTCAACGGTCTCTTCTGTAAAATTACGAATTTGTGTACTTTAATACGCATTGTCAGATTGTGTAGAATTTCTTTGTGCGACAATCACCATGTACAGAAGAATAGGGGTACATAAATTGAATGATTTATAATCGATTAAATGTTACTTTGTGCCGTATTGGTATTGTCCTTGGTCCATCGGCGGGCATTGCTCGCTTTTGTGACGCATTTTAATTAACAAATACTCTCGCGTTCATTAACTACATTTTTTTTCATTCTAAGTGCAATACTACAATGGCAATGAATAGGACGGGGCTATTCAAACATGACGTCACGGGTTTTTTTACTTTTGAGATCCCCTCCCCCCTGTTATGTTGATTTTTTTGGTTCTTTTACCAAATTAAATTTAAACATGATGAGTATTTTGAAAAAAGAAAAATCTGGTTTTGAATAGAAAATGACATCGGTCCCGTAATTTGGGAGATATGGAACAAAGCAGGTTTTCACGAAAGTTGAATATCTCCTGAATTACTTATCTGATTTCGCAAATCCGAAATTTCAGCCTGTAATATCACGAGAGCTACTATCGTACCAAATTTCATCTTCCTATCTCAATTTTGTAGAGAGTTATTGTTTATACAATTATTACCAAGTTGTCCCTGGTTGAGTGAAGATATTAGAACTTGATTTGATGAATATAATGATAAGAAATATTTTGACGTTAAGAAAATTCAATTCAGTCGCGTAGTTTTCGAGATATTGAGAAAGAAAGATTTTCGAGGAATTGCTATATCTCAAAAACAGCATGACCGATTGAGCTAAAATTTCGCCCAGATGTGCTCCCAACCCATGCGAGTTATTCCACAAAACTTCATATTTTTAGCTCGAACTTTAATCTCCTTTTCGGGAAGGTTTGTAAACAAATCTTACACACACATTTTCTAAAAACATCATCTTCACCTTTGATGACATTCTTCATCATTTCCAAGTGAAATTAGAAGATCGTCAAAATGTACGATTACAAAGCTTCCATTCAAGCAAAAACACAGCAATAAGAAAAGAAGAGTCAAGGATTAGCTGAACAATTGAATCTTTCCGCGATCCTCTTCGAACATTTTGCAATCCACCAAATTGTAGCCACCACAGCATGTTGAAATTCCCCTCTATGAATCTTTGGGATAGTTTGAGGAATTGGTGAAACCTGTTTGCTTTACATGAGAAAAAGACACGAGGAAAAAAGGCATCTGTCATTTCTTCGATTGAGAAATCGTAAAAAAATAGTGACGTAGTATTTGAATGTCCCCAGAAGAGATTCTCCTTGTCGTCGTGAGCTTTATAAACAGCCTTATATTTTTCAATCCTTCCTTATTCATCCTTTCACCTAATATCTCTGTATCAGAGAAGTCAACAAAACAGTTTAAACATTTATCGGACAAACCCCATCGTCCGAGTTTAATTTTTGCTCCACACTCTGCCAGTCAGCGTCGAGATCAGTGACACTGTTTGAGCAGCATTGATGCTCTCTCCTCCCTAGTTTCTCGTGGGACAAGTCCTCTTCAGATTGTCTCTGGTTATCGTCATCCCTCTGAGATCTGTAATCTCGGATCGAGGGTTCTGGTTCGGGTTCGTCTCGGTAGAAGCCGTAACCAGCTGGAGCTTCTCTGAACTCTTCCTCCGGGTTTGTGGAGTAGTAGCCGTACCTGGCGCCCTGCTGTATCACTTCGTATTGAGCGTCGGGTGCTAGAAACGCTCCGGACGATCCCAGAGACTCTTCCCCATTGGTGTAGTTCCTCTCGTTGTTGGCGTCGAGCAGCTCCTGGTGAGGGGACGCTTGACCCGGAGGGAGGGGAAGAGGCAGACGATTTCGCTTCGATAATCTGTGCTTGCTCATCCTCGAAGCCATGTAATCCTTCTGCTGGAGCTCCTCCTGGTGCTCCATTCGCGACGTCAACTCCTTCTCCACTGCCATCTCGTATAAACTACTTTCTGGCCCACAGCAGGACGACACGTCCCCGAAGTAGAGCTCACTCTCTGATTGCTTTGTCGTTGACAACTGGTGGTTCTGCTCCTGCTGGAAGGCGTCGTTCTCCACGCCTTTTAGCGCTCGTCTTGAGCGACGAGTCTTCATCGTACTCTCGTGAACAGCTGTGCATTCTAGCTCTGGGTTTGCTAGCTCCTCGGTGTTCTCATAATTGTCGGAGGGGGCGCAGTGCTGTGGAGTCCTTTGTATGTGATGATCTGAAAGGGCATAAAGAAATTTCAGAGTTTGTGTTTATTTTGGTGTTGGAAGATCATTCGAAAATGAAACGGGCATTCGAAATGAATTTATCTTATTGTGAGGTGGGCTTTTCTTTGAGAATATACTTAAATCGGAGGGGAGTAGACGTGGTTTGGGGAAGAATTGATATTGAATTCTTGAATTTAGAATTGGACTATCATTTCACGTGATGACGAACATCTTTGTTTTAGGAAATGATTTGGCGGGAAAACTTGCTAGCTTTTCCGCCGTCATTCTTTCATGTGAATTGATGAGATTTTTTCTATAGAAAATTTTTCGGCATAAAATTTTTGAGGAGACAAACTTCCAATATCAAAGTTACCCAAAAGACGGGTTTCTCGATATTCTCGAGAAGATAGACAAATGAATCAGGGTTCGAAGGGGGATACGCAACAAATTGTTACAGCAAATCCACATCTTTTTCCCATCAAAGGTGTATAATAGATTTTCAAAAACATTACGATAGAAAACGAATAAAATCTAGCCTTTTTCGTCTTCAGTTGATTTCATAACGACAAAATTTGGGCTTTGCAACTGTTCCCTAAATTGAAAGAAGTCATCGACAAACCTTCACTAGTTTCAAAATTCTCCACAGTCCTCTTAACACTAGCCAATCTCGATGGTGTAACAGCAACAGCAGCAGCTGTCGTGGAGGAGCCCGACGAAGAACCCCCAGAGGATGAGCACTTGAGCTCAACAATCTGTGGTCTCCTCGCTGGACTGTTGGGATCACTGTACGGAGGTGGAGGTCCCCAAAGTGGAACAGGCGCTTCCAAAACACTGTAGGACGCTGTACTAGGCGTATAGGAGTTATTTTGAGGATTGAGGACGGAGTAGGGGCCAGCTGATTGACGTGAATCGATGAAACCATAGGGTGCTGATATTGCAGTTGTGCCCTCGCGGGATGGGTCACTTAATTCATTCGCGTGTCTTATAGACTGTGCATGAAAGCCATAGTTTGAGTCAGGACTCGGTGCTGGACCCCGTGAACGTGACCAAGGCAGGCGCCATCTTCTATCAGGAAGATAGAAAGAAAAGTTAGTGGAGTGGTGATTATGGGGATAGAGTTTCTTGCTGTTAAGTAGTATCACTGGGAAAAGGAGAAATGAACTGCAAGTTACGTGGGATAAGTTAATTTACCGTGATGAAAGGTTAATGTTTATTTATTGTTCATTTTATTTTATAAAATAATCAATTTAGGGAGCTAATAGAAGAGCGGGAATTGAAAGGTTGTGTCATATCGCGTCATTTGTAAGTTCAGATGATTCTGTCACGAATTAGTTTCTCATTTAATTGGATTTTTATCCATTTATTTCCTTTTCTTGACCCCTTTTCTCCTCTTTTTTCCAATTATCATTGATATCTCTTGAAGTCAAGAATATATTATTCTGTAGATATTTTTTTCTTACAAAAAAACGTTCCATTCTTCTCCATCCGAGGATAAAAATCAGCAATTACGAGAGAAAACACTTCAAAATCCCCCACGGAAACAAGGGATCCGTTCCCTCTCAAATCATCCACTCTATCGATTTCAACTCTCCGCTCATAAATTCGTTAAGGATTGAAAAAAGAAAAGTTTGTAGCCGGATACTTTCAACTGTTCAACTGAAACCGAGGTAAAAAAGTTGAATTTGTTTTTCCCGACAGAGTATCCATCGAAATTCGATCAGCGCAACGAGCACAATATCCAATCTCCCGGCCATCACCAAATTCTCAGATAAACCGATGAGAAAGTTCGTTAATAGTCCAGAAATATAAATAGAGAATATGGGAGAATATATGAACATCGTGCATGAGAAGTTAGTAGAGTAGGATTACCTAGACGGGGCCAAATCAGGATTTGGAGTGTACAAATTCCCGGGGGTTTGTGCCCACCAGGGATTAACACCACCGCAATCGTTGCAGCATCCACAGGAGCCTGCAGTTGCTCCACCCACAGGTGCTCCACCCCCCTGGCCGTACAGTGATCTACATCTGGAAATCATGATCGTTAATAACGCGAGTAAAAAACTGCTACATTGAATGAGTATTAGTTCAGGAATTATAATGTTGGAACATGAACTTTATAGGGCCGCTCCGTGATTAAAGGCAACGGAACGAATAAGGACGTAATATGTGAAAAGTTCCTGGTACCAGGTGACAAGGTTGTGAAATATTATTCAAATTAGTCTAACAAATTTAATTTAAATCTTAATTCAAGTTGAAATTATCAAAGTTCATGTAGATGGGTATCATTGTGAACGATCTGGTTAGCTTTGCCTTAATTTCAACCTCTATGAGACATATAAGTACGTTGATATCCTCATATAGATGTACGCACTCGCCTCCGCCTCCCGCCACAAAGCAATAAATTTCATAATTTCTGATGTAGAGGTACGTAATCCTGATACGTACAGGAATTATTGTTAATAACACGCGAAAAAACAGTTATATTAAATGGGCCTAATTAAAAAAATCCTCAGTACCTCAGTTCCAGCTGCTCCCAATACATTTTTTTTTTCTCATGGCTGAGCAACTGGTACACCAACATACAGGAGAATATGCAGGCTAGGATACCAGCGACAGACACACCAAATAGAGCTCTCAGGCAGGCGTAAAGGGCACCATGCACCGCTTCACAGTGTGGTGTACCCTCGAAGAGTACCCCAGTGTCTCCACTTCTACCTTGTGATGTCCCATAACAAGTGCAGGATCTGCGAGACGGAATGAATACCGTAAATTATAATTAATGCATCACCTATAAACTTGAGTGCCTCATTTAGACGTGGCTAAGCCCCACCCATCCTACTCTCCTCGTTATCTCAGGCGTGAAATCACTGGCTAACCCCATGTCTCAATATCCTCAAGGTAATCAGCATGACAATCTAAGTGGAAAAAGGGTTTTTTGTGGCCACTATTTTTTACACCTTTCTCATTGTCAATGCCACTGCCGAGGGAGAGGGCACCCTTGTTCACGGTTTATTGAAGATTATATTTTTAATGTCTAACAATAGTTACCTCGCTCTTGCTGTATAAACGCACTCGCGGAGGCTCTGTAACTTTGACATGTGGATTACTGTTGTCGTTACTGTGACGAGAACGCACACAAGTGCGCAAACAACGCCAACGGAGCCGCAGACCTTCATCTGAAAGTTGTAAATTGGACAACTGCATTTTCTTTGGTAAATGAGGATAGTTATCGTTGGTAAAAAGTTAGCAATTTGCTTCCGAGTGGATTCTCTTTTTCTACATTCTTATTTTATTATTCTTTTCTCTACATTTTCATGTCATAGTACTATCATAGATTGTAGTGTCATCAAAATTTTGCGTATTATTTGGTTTTGTCAAATAATTCAACATTCAGACCTTCTCAAGACTCGAATTCGTTTTCAGCTCGAGTTTAATCAAGGTTCAACCAAGGTTTAATCAGTGTATCGCCGGAATTTAGTCGGGGTTTATTCAGGATTTATCGAGAGTTTAACTCAAGTTCCGTCAGAAGTTAGTTGGGACCATGAATTTATATGAATAAAACTTCAACATAATAGACTGGTACCTGAGTTTAATAGCGATAGAAATTTTTTTTATACAAAAAGCTCATGCACGGAGAGAAATATTCAATAAAAATTACGTATCTTTTCCGTAATTCCGGAGCGAAATGTGGTTGTAGGAAATTTTACGGAACTGTCACGGAATTTTTCCGGAGCGTTCCGTAATTTTTATCTGAATCTCTTGTGAAAAATTACGATACCGTCACTTAAATTTTCTGAGTCGGTTCCCTAATCGGTGAGTGAAATGAGAGTTCCGTAATTTTTACTGAACATTTCTCTCCGTGTGACGGTATTGTGTAACTTGATAAGCAATGATGCTTAATTAAGAGGGCATTAAAATATACTTTCTAAGCCCTGGTTTAATGGCTGTTCCTGATAATTCTTTTTGTGATATCTGCCTCAAAAGTGCACCTTTCGAAACGGTTTAGTGTGCGTAAAGCGGTTGTTTTCCGCACGGCGTGCGTAAAGTTTACGAGCATGCACAAAAACAACCACATTACCTCCACTACCGTTCCGGACAGTGAACTCGACAGGTCCTATCCTATTCTAGAAAGAACATACGCCGTAACCTGTAGCGTAACGCTCATTCCTCGAATTTCATTGGTCGAACGCTCAGATCCGCCCGCACGTGTTCGACTTCGGTCGGCTTTCGGTTTTCGTGTCACGATTTGTCTTTAACACGCGCGCTCAAACGCGCAATCGTTCTCGTACCACAAAAATAGGATGTGTCACACGTGCGTGTGAAAAAGTGGAACTTTACGCACTAGTAACACAATAGTATATTTCGTAACGAGTGCTAAAAAACATTTTTTCACGAGTTACGAACAATATTTTTCATCACAATGTGGCGGAAATTGGACTTTTAGGCACGCGGAACGTGCCGAAAAGTTCACTTTTCGTCACAGCGTGATGAAAATACTATTCAGTAATCATGAAAAACCCAATGTTCTCTTTCAAATCGCATAAACAATGCGCCGTAACTCAACAATGAATTGTGCAACCCTCGTATCCTGATAGAATCAAAAGCGTATTGCCATCAATTTTTTGAGTTGCAACTAATTTCATTTTGATGACAATTTCTTGAACAATATTTGAAAAATCGATTTTTGGAAAATTATAAATTCTTTCAAATCCGTATGAAAAATTGAACTTTAATTGTTATGCATGAATAGAGTAATAAAAGTCTATGTCTATGAAAAAATTCATGAAATTCGATTGATCCATTTTAATAAAATTTCGAAAAAAAATGAAGAAAAAACCATATATACATGCAGATCAGATTTTCCATTTAAAATCGCACATCCGCACTTTTTAGACCACATTCAGTTGCTTCAAAATAAAAAATTGTAAATTTAAATGTAAGCGATTACAACGCATCCATCCGGAAGCAAAAATTATTGATTTCGAATAATTCTTTAGCGTATGAGCTATTTCACGAGACGACGGACAGAATGATTCAGCAGATAATTTGTGACAAATTTATCGCACGCTATAAAGGGGTAAACGTATGAATTCTTACCAGAAGACCGTATCTGTGTTTCCGCCTGGCTAGGAGCATCGTGAAGAATCCCATAAGTATCAACTGAAATTAAAGAGCCATTTGTAAATCTTGATATATAAACCCAGACCGGGATTCTCAAATTCATTGTCGAACTCACCATTGTGCCAGGAATGTAGGAAGGTACAGTCTCGAAATGCATAAGACTGGCAGTGTGGGCGGACAAAACAGCGTGAACAGCCAGAAAGAGGCTTCCAACGGCGGCACTGAGGGCCCCGCAGAGACAGCACAGAACTACATATTTTTTACAGCAGCCTCCGTCGCCATTATCAGTGCCTATAAACCCAAAGGTTCGGGGGGAAAACGATTAGGACATTGGGCCACAGTAACATAAACATTGTCCGTCACATCCCGAAGTGTAGAGAATTGTAAAGGTTGGCGGCAAAAACATTGTGACCTGGTCAAAGGCGCAAAATCAGGGGACCGAGACAGATTGCATCGGCATTTCACCCACGGATTGCCCCTGAACCCTCAAAGAACTACCTGCCATGCTTTTTCCTTTACTGTTAAAGATTTATTCTACCTGATCCATTCACTCATTCGTGCCTCACAATAAAAAAAAAAAAGAAATAGCTTCTTTCCTCAATTTTGGAGGCGAACCTTTCCCACGTGTATTTGGAACAAAAATAATGGCTCTGGAGTTTTCAAAGACATCATAGAAATGGTACAAAGTCATGGGAAAATGAACGGACATACCGCATGGATGCCGATAGTGATTCCTCGAGAAATGTGCATGATTTCCATTTCTTGGATAATGTGAATGCGAATGTGGTGATACGGCGAATGGATATCCAACAACACCATCCATTGGTGCATCTGGCCCAAGACGACAGCGTACTATTTGCAGTACAGGATAACTGTCCATTTATTTTCTATTGTCGGATGATGATGATGATGATGATTCAGCTTCGGCTACTGAACTTACGTTCCCCGTATCAACTTGGTTGAACGATGAAAAGTACATCCTTGAGACTGGCTGTATTTACAATGTGCCATACTTCCACTTCACTCACACGTATGATTACATTTGAGAATGTTAGAGTCACTTGCACGTGTCCAACGAAGAATGAAATTCACCAAATTTGGCACTTGTTTGATTGATAGTAGTTGATTCATATGATTGTCGATTGAGTCACTCGGGGATGATCGATTTTGAGGCATCACGGGATCATGATAGTGCTTCAATGGAGGATTTTATTTTGCTCGTGGAGGGAACATCAGGCACCTCCGTCTTCACCATGGAGTATGGTTCATCTTTATCGGGGTTTTGCGCGCGCCCAGACTCATCGAGACTGGTCGATATGCATGGGGGAGTGAAGGCGATGGGAGCGACCCCGTGCGTTACTACGAGATGAGGGGAAAACTTGTTGTTATGAGGGGATGATTTTTCGAGGGGGCAATATCGCGGGGAGTATCGCGGATGGATACGGCAGATTGCTTGGGTAACAACGACAACCGATGGTATCGCATGAAGAGAAAATTAGAGAGTAATGTCACGTACACGGAGAAATAGTTGGAGAAAAATTATAGAACGAGTCAGGTAATCGTGGAGCGCACTGGGTTTTTCGTTCGAGATGAATAGGGAATTTTTTTTCGTTCGAACCGGGAACTCCATAAAAAATTATCCCAGTTAACGTGAATGATTGCTCGACATTGCGGATAATTTTTCTGTAATGGAGAATGATTTTTTACCGAACGCATTCGGTAAAATTTCACTTCTACATTGTTGACAAATTTAGGGGAATTTTGCGGAAGTAGAGGTTGAATTCCATTTAGTGGGAAAAAAATCAATGGAATTTCAAGTTTCTCGGAAAATTCAAGTAAAATCCCATTTTTTTAAGCGATAGGAAAACGGAAATTCCATAATTTACATGAATTTCAGAGAAAAAATGAAAATTCACTACCAAATTCCTTTGAATTTTCAGGGAATTCCTGTAAAATTCTTGGAATTCCAGAAATCGTTGAAGGAACTCAAAATTTCTCTGAATTTTTCTGGTTTTATTAATTTTCCCGGAATAATTAATCTGAAATTTACAGTTCGCATAGAATTTTCCACGAAACTATGAATTTTCAATGACAAAATTCCTTGAAATTTCAGTGGAAATATTACTTGAAAATTTTTTAACAGTGCACCAGTTCCTATCACCTTTGGATAGGCGCAAAAAACCCTATACCGGAAATTTTACTGAACAGGAGGATAATTTCTCCATCCACCGACGTGTCTTTTTTACCAAACAAATCATAAAATTTCCTCCACAAGAGCTTTTTTCATTGAATTACATTTCGCTCCACAATTACCTTTTCCCCATTTTCTCCAACGTTTCTCACCGCATAACAATCCCAAAAGATTTAATATCCGGAATTTTCCGAATGTCTATGGGAAATGCGTGTATGGGGATGGGAATTGAGTTTTACGACGCTATAAATTTCTCCGGAAGAAAGCCCTGCAGGACGTGTCCATACAATTTTTCTTGACACATGCGGGTTTTCAAAAAGATCGTTGATAGCTAAAAATTCATGGGCCCTCAGCGTTTTCATAATAACTGACATATCCAGTATACTATTCACCTCCCCAAGTGAGGGGTTGCGTGAAGTGTGGAGTCAAGCACTTGATCTTTGTCTTACAACATCGAGCCCCATTGACGCGCAGTGACTGGATCCATCTATTAATCCAGTTACACCAGCGCAGGGTGACAAATTCGCAGTGGAACAAAGGGTAGGGATTAAACTAGGGAGCGCAAAGTGCAAGGGGGAGTGAGAGAGTTCAAGAAGGGGCGATATCGTCAACAAGCTACGGGCGAACGAGCCCCACGATGTGAGTATACACCAACGCGATGAGAATGCTGAATCGAATATGGGAAATTGGATTTCTGGATAGCGAAGTGAGGGAGGGACAGAATAAGAGAAGCCAAACACATTCCGTTAATGAAGAAATTGACGTGGCTACTGTTCCCCGAAAACCAGAGCTATCGAAATACTGATGAAACTCACGATTATCATAAGCGGATGTGTCGTATATTCTGTTGGTTCTGGGTGGTGGTCTCGGTGGTAGTGCAGGAGGCTGATGAATTCTCGATACAACAACCGCCATATTATCAGCATTGTCATCGCCCTCGGAACCCCTCTTATCCTGACCGAACTGCTCATGCTCGTGATACAAATTGTGATGATGATGCATCTGATGATTCTGCTGTTGCATCTGCTCCTGACTGTGCTGTGTTTGCTGCTGCATATGATCAATGTGACACTGACACTTATTCTTACCGGTTGAACCAGTCATCTGTGAATTTATAATGAGATTAATTACCGAATTAAACAGGGTCAATGTGATCCACTTGTTATGCTCAACAGCTCCCTCAATTACTCACTTGGTAGGCTTCAAGGCCAATTAGAAGTGGGCTCTTAGTTTCTGCTGGATGAGCAATTTCCACGCGCTGAGGATGATCCAGAGCGTAGGGTTGTATCACATGTGTATGCCGTGCATGATTACGATGTCTGTCTGTCACGCAATGCTCGATAGTTCCGTGATTTCTAATGCTCGGTGACGAAGTCGAGGATTCACACGATATCCCTGAGCTCATGCGATGATGATCATTGGTTATCGTTGAAATTTGCATCTGTCCATGATGACTCGGTTGCACTTGATTGCCAGTTGTTGGGCCGATTGTATTGATGTCTTCGCAGCTTGAAAATCTGTCGCGATGATGAGACAGGGCGGAGGAAGAGCCGTCGTCCTCCTTGACACCGGAGTCACAGACCGGTGAGCATGAGGGAGGCTGACCAATCTCGTGATAACGATGACAATGATTCGCCTGACGATGCCTTCCCGATGGCGAGGGCTGGTGGATCTGCGGAGCTACTGTCGATTGATAATGACTCTCCTTGCACTGATTCGCCAGCCTGTGACGGTGGGACGAGTGCTGACGATGTCGCGAGTGCCTCGGTGACGTGAAAACTTCAGCAGCGTCTGACGATGACGTCGGACTTGCCGATCTCTCCTCGATCATGTGTTTACGATATCTCTCCTCCATCGCGCACTGACGACGACTGCTCCTGTTGTTCGGCTCGCTACCCACCTCCGCTTCATTCATCAGATGCTGCAGGTAGGTGGCATCAGCAGGTAGCAAATTTCGACAATGGCCATTGTTAGGGTGGCTCTGTGGATACTGCACCCGATTTTTCTGCGAATCCGTTGAATCGACACGGTTACTGGGTGGAACTGAATCGGGCAAATCGGTGAGGATCATTCGACCGGGACTGTAGGTCGATTCACCGGGGAATATTTGATTTTGATTTGGCCGCGATCTACTGTGCCTCATCGAGCCGAACATCGGATCCAGCGGTGACTCCACGGGACTCCGGTGTGACAGCGATGATTCAGCCTGCATCACTTGATGATTTGATGTCTTCCTATTACGGCACGGTGTATCCTCATCATCATGATCATGCGTATCCATCTGCTTGGTCGAGCACCTCGGATTCCTCGGCTGAACGGTATCCCCATTGCTGCAACCCGGTGATGGGTCTCGCTGCGACATTATCGGGGGGGGGGGGGG